CAATACAACAAGAAATATAGAGTGCATAAGGTTTGTCAAAAAGAGAGTTATTATTAGTTGAAGGGAGGTGTTCTTTTTTGTGGAGCTTTGGACTCGACTCTTGTCCAGAGTTGTTGAGTTATTCTTTGTGAAGGCTGTTGTATCCTGGAGGGGACAAGTCAAAGAGGACTACTGCTGGACCGGTGAAAAACATTTGCTGCAGTGGGCTTGAATCTCCTTAAAGAGAGCGAGATATCCGCGCCTCAGCCTGAAGAGATTTATTTCTTCATTTTTTTATTTTCAATTGTAATCTTGTATTTTTTGTTATCTTGTAAGTTTTCACTAACATATATGAATCATTCACTACTTCATTTTAATTAAACCAAACCAAATGCAAAAATACAGCTTATTGTCCTCCCTTTTTTCCAATAGAAATGTAAGATCATCAAAAAATTTAAAGAGAAAAACAAAATTCTTAATAAAGATAACATCCACAATGATAAATTTGTGACAGGTTTGTCACCTTGTATTAAAAAATACTTTTAAGAAAATATTTTACATCATACCAAACAGATCGTTGAGTTAGTCCGTCAATTAATTTGGATTGGCTGTTGCCTAAACCAAAAAGTGCCAAATTTTGTCATACAATAGAAAATTAAAAAATTTGGTTCACCTAGTAAAATTAGACACGTCCCATTTCCCAATTCATGCTTAAATTTAGCGGAGTTTTTGAATATTTAAGCGATAACCGTCATTCCAAAAAAATAAAATAAAAACTGCGCCGATTTATCCCACCGCCCTTTCCTCTTATGCCCTTTCATGGTCAATTTTTATTCTTATTTTTTTAATATATTTTTGTTTTTTCTTTTGTTGTTTTTCATTAATCAAAATTAATATGGGATTGTTTAAGTATGAAATTTTAAATACGTTACGTTACGAGATATATTCAAATAGTTAAATTTGTATTGATGATTATATTATTTTATTTTAACAATTTTTATTTTTTATTTTATTTTTCTCTCATATTGTTCTTCATTAATTAAATTAATAAAGTATCTTTTTTATATGACTTTAGATATATCAATGGGATATACTCATCAAATTTGTGTTTTATGTAATTAATTTTTTTCCTTTATAGTTTTGTAATTTTTATTTTTCTCTATCTCGTTATTTTTCATTAATTAAACTAGTAAGGTGTTATTTTCTATACTCAAATAATTAGGAGTCGTTTGGTTTGAATTCAAGTTACGGCGGAATTAGTTATGATAGGATAAATTATGATGTGATTAGTTATGATGAGATAAATTATGTTGAGATTATTTTTTATTGAGTGTTTGGTTTATTGTATTAAAATAATAGGCTTTGCATAAATTTTAAGAACAATTTATTTGCTTACAAAAGTACCCTTCATGAATGTGAAAAGTGATGTATAAAAAAGGTTTAAAACGATATTTTTGTCATTTACTTATTTTATCCTGGGATAAGTTATCCTGAAATTACTATACCACCCATGGGGAGGGATAACTTATCCCGGTACTAATTATTAATCCTGGTATAAGTTATACCGGATATGTCAACCAAACAACAAATTAAGTGACACTACAATTTAATCACATGACTATTTTATGTAATCCTTCACACCAAACGACCCCTTAAAGTTGTGTTTTACGTAACTAATTGATATTATTTCATCGCATACGAACAATTTTCTAAAATTAGGTTTCGTAATTTCTTTTTAAAGATGTTAACAAAATAAAACTTTTTTCAAGATTTATGAATTAGTGGATAGCAAATACCATTTAATTATACAAAAAATAATAATTAAAATTTAGAAGGGAGTGAAACTACTTTAGTATTGTGAGAAAATTAAATTACTAAAAGTGGCAATCTTGTAGTATTTGCAGAAACGGGGACCATAAGTTCAACAACTAGTTAGTTAAGAGGACCCCAGTTCCCTCCATGCTTAATGGCAACAACGTGTGCCAACACGTTCAGCAACGTAACATTTGCACTCTATTTATACACTTTCCACAAGCACTCCACAAACTGAATATCCATCGTATTTGTCCACTTAACCTGCCCTTTCAATTTCACTCATCAGCTAATTTGGATCCTCCACCGTCCATGGCGGCCGGAATTTCAGCCTCCGCTGGTTCCCGAACTATTTGCCTCCGTCACAACCCGTTTCGCGGTCCAAAATCCGCCTCAACCGCCCCGCCAGTTCTGTTCTTCTCTCCGTTAACTCGCAATTTTGGCGCAATTTTGCTGTCTCGAAGAAAGCCGAGGTTGGCGGTTTGCTTTGTGCTGAAGAATGAGAAATTGAATAGTACTATCCAAAGTGAGAGTGAAGTAATACAGGATCAGATACAAGTAGAGATTAATGAGGAGAAGAGTTTAGCTGCCTGTTGGCTGGCGGAAAAATTGGCGAGGAAGAAATCGGAGAGGTTTACTTATCTTGTGGCGGCTGTCATGTCTAGTTTAGGGATTACTTCTATGGCGATTTTGTCAGTTTATTACAGATTTTCATGGCAAATGGAGGTACTAATTAATTACTCCATTCTTTTGCTTCTTCTTTCTTAAGCTTAATCTTAAGCTTTTTGGATAGGGTGGAGAAGTGCCTTTTTCTGAAATGTTAGCTACATTCACTCTCTCGTTTGGCGCTGCCGTAAGTTCCGTTTTTTCTTCTTCTCATGTTCAATACTTCTTCCATTTTGTCCCAATTTGTATGACATATTTCTAATTTGAAATTTTTTATTATTATTTTAACCGTGTATTAGGACATAAACCTTTAAGGTCTTTTTAAAATATTACTACATATTTAGAAGTTAAATAGAAAAAAACATAATTCATAAAAATTAACAATTAAAAATATTCGAAGGACTTATTAATTGCAGTAACAAGTTAACTTTATTTGACTCAAAATTCAAACTATGTCATGTAAATTGAAACAGACAATGTTTAAAAAGTAGTAATAAAAGTTTCGTGATGAGCTGATTTGCTGTAATTTAATGCTGTGGTCCTTCAGGTAGGAATGGAGTACTGGGCGAGATGGGCTCATAGAGCACTATGGCATGCTTCTTTATGGCACATGCACGAGGTTAATTTCCAAATTTACACTAAATTATTAGACACTAATTTGGATTCTTCCTAAGAAAAATAAAGATTCTTGTCAAGTTTTTCAAAATTTTGACTGTTCATGATTTTTATATAATATTTTCAGTCACACCATAGACCAAGAGAAGGACCTTTTGAGATGAACGACGTTTTCGCCATAACGAATGCTGTTCCAGCTATAGCTCTTCTTTCATACGGTTTCTTCCATAAAGGCCTCGTCCCTGGCCTCTGTTTTGGCGCTGTATGTTCTCATTAGCTACGTATCGTTTTTTTATGAGTTTAAGTTATATATGTGAAAAATGTGGTTTTTATGCAGGGATTGGGGATCACAGTATTTGGTATGGCTTACATGTTCGTTCACGATGGACTGGTTCATAAGAGATTCCCCGTAGGGCCTATTGCCAACGTGCCTTACTTTCGGAGGGTAGCTGCTGCACATCAGGTAACAAAAAGTTTATTGGACTGTAGCTTTACTCTTAATCTTATTTTAATCAAAATTAGCACCATCATTTAATTAGATTAATATTTAATTGATTGTTTTTTTTTTTTTTTTTAATTAATTTGTATTTTAATGGATTCTAACGACTGGATCTTCTTTGATTTTGCTGTATGGGGATTTTAGCTTCATCACTCGGACAAATTTGATGGTGTACCATATGGCTTGTTCCTAGGACCTAAGGTACTCTTTCCCCTCTCTTTTAACTTTGCCGCATGAGTTATCATATGCTTTTAATTCGGAATCTTAATAGCTTAGCGCATTGATTATTTGAATTTTTACCTCATTAATGAGGGTTCGATTCCCTCTCCAATTCCAATCGGCCCCCTACCCCAAATTTTATTTTTTAAAAAAGATATGTACTTAATCTAATTTAATATTTTTCTTTGTTTTGTAACACAATACAAGTAATATATAAATAGGAATAATGGTAATAGAGGCTGAATATGGATTAATGGCTATTTGGTGCAGGAATTGGAAGAAGTAGGAGGGCTTGAAGAGTTGGAAAAGGAAGTCAACCGAAGAATTAAAATTTCTAAGGAATTATTATGATCAAAAGATACTTCTAATAATAAAATGCACTTGTATTTAGGCTCTAGATCATTAATGGGAAAAAGATAGAAATATATATACATATATGAAAATAATATAATGAAACAAGCTTTCTATGGAAATTGGAAAGTTCCTAGTCTTCTTTTTGGTTCCTGTACGCAAAAGGTGAACAATTTGATATTCTGGTACTTGTTGACAAACCAGAAGAACGATAATTCAAAACAAAGAAATGTACAATTAGACTTATCGTATTGGTGGCGGTGGACAGATTCAAGATTTTCTCTAAGGGAGATTAAAAAATAAAAATATAATGTTTTAGCTGTGAATTAGAACTTCAACTTGAATTTTGAACACCATAAACCAATAAGTCAATATTTATTCTTACATTCAAGGAATTCAGAATTTATATAAATAAATTAAAAAAATATTAAATTTTATCAAAAGAGTTCCTAAGTCCGCCCCGGTTGGTGGTCATTTTTGACCGTGCTTCATTCGTTGGCGCTTGTGCTTTGCGTGTGGGATTCTGATTTGGCCGGTACACGTCAAAACACGGGAAAATAGAACCGACCCTATTTGCTCCTACCATTTGTGTTACATATATACTTGATATAATCAAAATTTTCTTATATTATTAGTGATTTTAAATTATAATAATATGCTAGTTACTACATTTTAAAAAAATCATATTATTAAGTGTAAAATAAGAACAGAAAACGAAAGCAAAAGAGTAAGCATAATTAAGAAAAAAACTTAACTAGCGTTTGATCATAGATTTTCAAATATTTTTGGCAAATATTATTTGGGCAAAAATTTGGGTGAAATTTCACCATGTGTTTGGCCATACTATTTGAAAAATATATTTCTCCTTTTTTAAGAAAAATGATTTATACCCATAAGTTTTAAAAACTATTAAAATTAACCATATGTTTGTATTACATAACACATGACTTTGTTATCCTAAGCGAATTGTTATCATTTTCATCAACAATCATATCATTTCTTTCATATTTACTAAATATTCCATCACTACTTGATGTTCACGTAAAAAATTATGTAAAACAACACAAATAACGACTACTATAGAGGGTGTTTTTGTAAAAAAAAAATAATTTAATGTAGAATTTGAATTATTAAAAGTTCTCAAATAATGAGATTTTGCCCAAATACTAGTTTTTTCTAGTATTTGAGAATTTGGGTTATTTGCCAAAAATATTTTCCAAATAATAGCAAATTATATGGACAAACACTATTTGCCAAATTTTATTTGGGAAATCTATGCCAGACGGATACGGGATATGGTTTTCTTTTACTTCCTTCTTCTCAACTTCTATGGTCCATTTATCCTTCAAATGTACATTTGTGAGATTTTTGTATTTTATATTTATTTATTTTTTAAATTGTGATTTAAGTTTTTTGGTTATTTCCCTCTATTTTATTAAGATTAAGATTTTTCTTTAAAAAAATATGACATTCATTTCAAGACATATGAAATTTACTCTTTACACTATGTAATTTATGTAAGTTATATAAAAATATACCACATAAATTAAGACTACAATGATTCTTCTTTTTTTCTTCTCTGCAATAATTTCATGACAAATATAATTGTGAAATAATTTTCGTCATCAACAAGAGATTCTTATGCATGTAAAAGTTCTAAAGAATTTTTAATATATGATTGAATTTTCTTGAGACGATTGAATTTTAAAAATGATCGGGTAGAGATTCATGTAGCTGATCCGTCTCTAACTTATTTAAATTTAAGAATAATATTTTTGTAATGCTAGAATTTAAAATATCTATTGTATGCCATTTATCCTATTAAAGTAACTTTAAATTAAATTAAAACATTAACAATAAGTAGCAAAAAAGCCAGTGAATAATATAATGTGCCATGTGTCACCTCAATAATAATATTGTAGGTGGGCAGTCCAAATACATCTAACTGCAAAAAGGAAAAAGGAAAAAAAAGATGATTCAACTTTTTCTTGATAATGGTCTCCCCTATATGTCCATTATTATCCAATTATCTACATGCCAAATGTTGTTTTGCTATTTAAAGAGAACAATCAAATCCCCAAAAAGTTAATTTCTCTGCTAGTCTAGAACACTGCTCTAGTATTGTTTAATTGAGTCAAGAGTGTAATGCCATTATTGATTGAGTTGCCAACCAAAACCAATTAATCAAAGGAATATATATATCTTGTTACCAATAGAGACAACATTCCGCATTGTTAGGTCCAATAGTATAACACAAAGAAAAACAATAAACAACAAGTGGATTAGAATTCACGAATTGGCGACGACTAAAATTTTGTAGTTAAATAACAAAAAATTCATGGTGTATTTGATACTATGGTGTTATTTGAATTAAATTATGACGGCAATAATATTTTTAGACCAAATTATTGACTGTGGACATTTTTATCTAATTTCACATTGTTTAAAGACTTTAAAAAAAAATCAGTTTTCATCATTATAATGGTGTGATTGGTATGTAGGAAAAGATTTTTCAATACTTTCATATTTAGCTGATCAAACTTTTTTTTAATGGAAAAATATTAAAAATTGGTTTTACTCTTTATATTCTCCTTTTAAAGATGATAATGGATTCAATGAATCAGTTGATGACTAGGGCAGACTACAAGTTTTTTTAACATCATTATTAAAAAAGAATTACTTATCGTGAAGGTTCAACTTTTACAAGTGAAATGTTATGGTAATATGTGAAATTTAATTTATTTGTAGAAATTGAAACTACTGAATATTGTTTAACTACAAAAGTTGAAAAGGGACAATTTATAAATTTCTACTCATTTATTTTGCCAAGTAAATTATAAGTACATGCTTCAACTTACTTAAGGCACATAATTAGGCCACACATAATTACATATTTCTTTTTATTTCTTTGTCACTTGATGGTGTTTAATATCCATTTTAAGGCATCAATTATATCACATAAAAGTCCTTAAATAAGAGAGATATTTTCTATCAAAATGAAATTATTTTCAAAATTTTAATCTAAAACCACTAATTAAAAATCGTACATATTATTAGAAAATCAACCAATGGCAAATGTTGTTTTGCTACTACTTAATTAATCACTGGTTAAAAGGCTATACCTTTTACTATCTTTTAAGCTAGTTTGACCCAAATTTAAATAAGAGCAACTTATAACAATGACTATATTTATAAGATTTGATGAAGTTCAATAGCTATAAGTGTTATTTACAATAAATGACTTTTCCTTTAAATAAACACATTATTGCTCTGAATCTAGTGGGAATAAAGTGGGGAAAAAATGGTCAATAATTATGCTCTAGACAATATCATTATTTTAGTGAGTTGACCATCAAATCTTATCGTAAAATGCCAGGTGGTTATGTATCAACAGTGATAACTAACTGATTGCTTAAATAATTACTATGTTTAGATTAATATTTTATGTATTATCCTTCCATCATGAACTAACAGATAATCGTCACTTTGTTAAACCGTCCACCCATTAACATAAAAATATTGCACTGTCATCTTATCACCAAACTACCATTTTATTTAGGAAAAATTAATCACATCTTTTAGTTTACTTATTACCATTATTTCCTATAAGTTTTTACAAATCTCCAAAATCCCTCATTTTCGCGCATCAGATTAGTGTATCAACGCTTATATTATTGTATCTCGCGCATCAAATTAATGTATCAGTGCTTATATTATTGTATCTCGCGCATCAAATTAATGTATCAGTGCTTATATTATTGTATCTCGCGCATCAAATTAATGTATCAGTGCTTATATTATTGTATCTCGCGCATCAAATTAATGTATCAGTGCTTATATTATTGTATCTCGCGCATCAAATTAATGTATCAGTGCTTATATTATTGTATCTCGCGCATCAAATTAATGTATCAGTGCTTATATTATTGTATCTCGCGCATCAAATTAATGTATCAGTGTTTATATTATTGTATCCGTTTGAGAGATTTCTATAATTATAAACTTTTAAGGGATAAATTGTAATTTTACCTTAAAAGTATGTGATTTCTGTAATTTGCCCTTTTATTTATGTATAGATTAAAAATAAACATGCTGTTTTTTTTCTTATTTTAATACCTTGTGTACTTTGGGAAAAATGAAAAGATTTTATGGTTAAACCGCGTTTTCTAAGTTTTTGATATTTTATTTAAGGGATCTTTATTTAACTATTCTTTTCCTTGTATAAAAGACAATCATTAAACTTATAACTGTAATGGATCATAAAGACACTGATTTTTTTAAAAAAAAATGATTGACTTGTACGGTTGTACCCTTCGGGGTGGCCAAGTGGTTTGGGCTTGGGACTTCCATAATGGAGGTCTCAAGTTCGAAGCAGCTCCTTGCCAGCGAAAGCAAGGAATTTGCCTTCTGGGTTGAGCTTGTCGCACTGGGCTTGCCTAGTGCGGGTTAATTACCTCTCCTATATGGTTTGTGAGTTGTGGGTTTCTCTTGTCATAAAAAAATAAAAAATAACAATGATTGACTTATAGAATGAATGGAAGCGAAAATTGCAACTAAGACTTTCTCCTATAACGATTATTATGGAACACTAAACCATATCTCACTTAGGTTAAAATAATACTTAATTAATTTTTTCTTCGATCGCTATTTACACAGTATGATCTATAGAAATATCAAATACTAGTGAACATATTTTAACATTCTCACGATATTTTCAATTAGTAATTATGCAAGATTATCACTCCTTAGTTTGAGTTAGTTTAAATCTTTATATTTTTATAGATGAATTGAAATTTTATTCCATTTTAAAAAAATAATAATTGAGGGTCAACAATACTAATTAGAGATAAAGAATTTTTGAGTGAGTCTCAAGTATTGAACGCTACGTGTGTGTTTAGGGTGCATAGTAAGATGATTGGGGTGTAGACCTCACATAACTAAGTCCAAAAAAGAACCTTTAAAACAAAGACATATTTTAGGTTTGATGGAATACTGACATCATTCTATATAATTATTGTTTTATAGAATTTTAATAGTAGCTTATTATTTTGTAATATTTGAATGATATTGCTTGTTTGATAAGAATAATAATGAGTATAAAAGGGCAGGGTCACAGACGGATTTCTCGGTTATCAAAAAAAAAAAT